GAAAAAAATAATCGCTTAAATATTACTTTTCCTTCATTGTGAAGGTATCAGTGAGTGAAACTGCCACACGGAACCTGAAGGAGTTGTTACCAGTCTCTGAAAGGAGAGCTTGCCTTCCTGGATGCCATTTAGCAAAGGCTGTGCCTCCTCGCCCACACCCTCCCGTCAAGCTCTCTGCATATTGTAATGTCTAAGCAGGGTTCATACCGGAGTCACATGGTGGCTATCAATGGAAGTCTTATAATTCCATGAGACATTTTCAGCCACATTTCCACTAAGCCGCTGTTCTCTGATTGGTGCCCCAAGATCAGTGCTCTCTCTCTGTGTTTACCCAGTTTGTGTTGAATGAGCAAACAGCAAAATTGTTGGCCTAATGCCGAGGCTCAGCAAACAATTGTTCCCCTGTTTATGGGCTTGTTTGTTTCTGGTTGCCCTGTGCTTGTCACACCAAGTGCCTTGAAGGGACAAAGCAAACACGCCTGCATTCTGAGACTTAAATTCTTGGCTGCTGTGACCATCAGGGCTGGCCTGGGCTTCGTGTTGCCGTTTTACATGAGGTGTTCTGATGTTTTCCTTAGATATGATGGTTTCCCCCATCACAAAGCACTGTAGACCGACTGGGGAGTGGAATTCGAAGGGGTGGGTTAAGAAAACTGAGAGCTCAGCTCTGAGTAATGCAATGAATAGATGCTGTCTTCCAGAACCACAGCGGTTGGGCTGAAATGATTCTAAGAAGGATATGAAGACCCGGTACATATAACTTTAAAATGAGGTCTTTGAAGTTAAGGTGACACTTGCACTGCTACCCATGTCTCACGATCTGGTACTTTCTTCTTTTGTTTCTAGAAACTGTAAGGCATCCACACCCCAGCTCTGATAAAAACCAGCAAATCAACCCCGCAAGGTTCTATTCAGTACTACACAGCGCCCCTGTAGAGAAGGGCACTCCAGCAAAGTGTGTGTGTGTGTGTGTGTGTGTGTGTGTGTGTGTGTGTGTGTGTGAATGGGGTGGCAGAGGAAGGTGGAGGCAGTGTCTGCACAGCTGAATGGAATGGTATTCAGTGTCTACTGACTGGGAGTTCTATTGTTTAATGAGTGCCACCCATCACCGTACTCCTACCCCCAACACACACAGGTCCTCAGGTCCCAAGTACAAAGTAGATATTGAATGGCTTATGGACATCACCATTTAAAGTCAAGACCAGGGGATGGCTCAGTTCATAAAGCATTTGTCTTGAAGGAATGGGACCTGAGTGTGATCCTCAGCACCCGTGTAAGAAGCCGTGGGAGGCAGTGTGTTGGGGAGACAGAGGCAGGAGGATCCCTTAGGTTTGCTCATCCACCAGCCTCACCTAGTTGGTAAGCTCTAAGCTTTTAGTCAAAGAGGGACACTGTCTCCAAAAGGAAGTGATGGCGTGCCTCCACATACCCACTCACACAGATGTCCCCGAGCACGCACGCACACACACACACACACACACACACACACACACACACACACCTTTTCCACTTTAAAAGTAAAATAAAATCAAGATTAATCCAGGCGCCGTGGTGTGGACCTATCATGACGGCACAGAGGAGGTGGAGGCAGGAGAATGGCAGGATCTTGTTCCAGAAAAACCAAACTATAAACCAACAAATAAAATCAAGAGTTTTGGTAGTTTCTATAAAATCTAAACAGTAACTCCCTTAAACTTTGCAGGCCATATGTTCTCTGCCACAGCTACTTAGTTCCGCTCATGGTAACACAAACTCACCACAGATAAATGTAAACAAGCCAGATGGCCCATATTCTGGTAAATTTTATTGTAGACACTGGCTTTTGAATTTCACATATTTTTTAAATGACTAAATGATGGCGATTTCTTGGTCCCTTTCAACCATTTAAAAACATAGACTATTTTTAACTCGTGGTCGCCTAAAGGCAGGCTGTGAGCCCAAATCGGTGTTGGGTCCTAGTTTTCTAACCCTTACTGAGCCAGGAAGAGATTGATGTAATAGAAATAATAGTCATCGGCTTAATTGATTGACCTCATCCTTGGCCAGGACTCAAAGTGTCAGCTCTTACTGTACCGATGCAGTAGTCTGGAGAGTTTGGGGGTGAAAGTCGGCGTAGGATCTTGCTCTGCATTGAAAGAATGCTAAAAAACACAGTGGCATCTGAATTGATTTCTCTGCTTGATTTCCCACTTCTTGCAAATGCCTAGATTTGGAACTTAAATTGGAAGACTTTCAACGTGGAGTGGGACTTGCCCCACCCCGTGTGCCCCACTCTGCCTAATCTAGTGGTGTCCTGAATGGCTAGATCATCTTGCCATGGGTTACCTGTCCTTCCCAGGCAGGTGAACTTCCCACCAAATGGAATGTGATGGTGCACACCTGTAATTCCAGAACTCCTCCAGGGCCTGAGCTGAAGGATTGCCTTGAGGTTGTGAGAGTATTGGCCACACAGTAAGCAGGGGAAAGGCCAGCCTGAGCTAGAGGGAGGCCTTGTCTTGAAACAAAACAAGCAAACAAACAACAAAGGAAAACAAAAAGGGGAGGGAGAGAGGGAAGGAGAGGAAGGAAGGGAGGGAGGGAGGGAGGGAGGGAGGGAGGGAGAAAGGGAGGGAGAAAGGGAGGGAGAGAATGGGGGGAGGAGAGGAAGGAAGGAAGGAAGGAAGGAGGAAGGGAGGGGGGAGACAGGGAGGGAGAAAGGGAGGGAGAAAGGGAGGGAGAGAATGGGGGGAGGAGAGGAAGGAAGGAAGGAAGGAGGAAGGGAGGGGGGAGACAGGGAGGGAGGAACAGGGAGGGAGGGAGGGAGGGAGGGAGGAACAGGGAAGGAGGGAAGGAGGGAAGCAGAGTACTCTGTCTTTTCCATGCTGACTGACAAAAACCCCTTCTCTCCACCAGGAAGAAGAGACCAGAAGGTGTGTACCATCACGGATCCTACTTGCAATTTTGGCATAGGGATCTTTCCAGGCAGAGAATGCCTGACTAAAATGAGGCCGGAGTTTCTCTTCCTCTAGCAGACTTTGGGTTAATTATCCCCATCATTTTCCTCCTCACTCCTTCCCACTTCCACTTCCTGGGTTTCCTTTCCATCGTTTGCAGTAATAAGAGATGATCTACACTGCTATTTTTTACTGCTGTTTTCAGCATACTCCATTGTAAGGTTATGAGATTTAATTCTGAAACTGCCTGTGTTTAGCACTGGGACTCCACAGTGCCAGTGATGGGCTCTCAGGAGCCAGAGGAGTTGGCCCCAGCACACTCCTAGGGAAAGGGTATTTTCACAATTCTGGACCACAGTCCTATGATGCAGTAAATGCCTGCATAACACATTTTGGTGCTGCCCCATCCATTCCATGAAAACTTCTGTCTACAGATTGCCTCAAAACGCACACAGGCATCTGCAACATTTACCCTTTAGTTTTATCAAAAACCCATTGAACTTTCCCCAAGAACATTTCCCAAGTGCCTTTGGCATTGGATTATCCAAATGAGACTTTTCCAAGGTAACTTAGTTAACCTGTGAGCCTGTACTTCCAGAGATAGCCCTCAAACAGCCGCTAGTTTCATTTCAACTCCTCATTCACAAGTCTTCTGAGTTTGTTATTTCGCAATTATACAACGTTGACTTGGGTTCCGTTCATCTTCCTCAAAGTCAGTAAGACTCGACAAGCATCCTCACTTGAGCAGCAGGAGGATAACAGAGTGAAATGATTGTCCATACTGCTGTAAAATAAAGCCCAGAGTAGCAGCTCACACCTGTAATCCTACTACTTGAGAGGAGGATATCTGTGAGTCGGAAGCAGGCTTGGGTTCTAGGCTGAGGTCCTGGCTACATTAGGAAGACCCAGTCTCAAAATGTCCAAAAATAAAAACATATAAAATTTGAAAAATATTTACACACCCTTGAATCCTTTTAACAAGTGAGGCAGAGGCATGAAAGGCGGGAGTGCCAGGCCGTCCTGAGCTGAGTCCAGGTCTGAGCTGCAAGCAAGCAAGAAATAAATGTATGGTTGTAGCGCAGCTACGATCTAGCCACTTATAACAGGGCGGACCTCTGGGTTCCTTGGGGAAATTCTTGGAGTCTTGCATTTCCAAGAAGCCTGGGTTGAATTTTCCAGTTGTTTTGAGACACGAAGGAACTGAGCAGGCCCCCTGGGTCCCTGTCACAGCTCCCTCAATAAATAGCTCCCTGGAGATCTTGGGAAAATCACTCACTGGCTTTGAGTCTAAGTTTATAGCCTTGAAAACGAAGGGTTGAGACATCTCAAGTATCTTTTCCACTCCACCTCCTCAGTACTCAAAAAGGAAAACGGTTGAAAATAGGATGAAAGGGTTCGAGAGTTTAGGAAGGAAACGTGTGAGCAGCCTGCAGCCCCCTGCTCTGTCTTTCTTGATGAGTGACATCATGTTTGTTTCATTCTCTACACAATGTACATATACCCCGCCCCCAGCACAACCACTCCTAAAGTGGAGTTTACAACTTAAAAATGATTTCGAGACCTGCTGGCAGCCGCAATGGTCCTGTGTGATTTTCATTGTGGACTGGCTTTGTTTCTTATGTGACCGTCCTTTCCGAGGTCGCGCCCTGTGGCATTGCCTTCTGTAGGCTGTCTGCTTTTCCTTCAACAATCTGCCGCGCTGTGAAGCCAGGACGAGGTAAGGGGAGTGGGGGCGTGTCCTAAAGAAATGAGCGTCCAGGAAGATGCTTAGGTTCAGTTTGTCCCTTTTTTTGCTCCTGAAGCGACACTAATTTGCATTCTGGTAGGGGTTTGGATAGTTTCTCAGATCTTCTAGTTTTCCTTTGCAAAAGTCCCATTGCTGCTCAGGTCCCAGGTCTGTGTGACGCGGTTTATTGTGGCAACAGTTCCCAGCAACTGCCCAGATGCTGAGCACCTACAGCCCAGCCTGGAGGTGGGGGGAGGAGGGAGCGCTGGGCCGGGATTGGGAAACCGGGGACTGAAGGACAAGATAGGAGTTTCCCCGGCACTGCCTAGAGAGGAGGCGCGATGGGCTGCGGACCTTCCCAGCAAGCAGGGGACCGGAGCCAGAGCCACGTGCCCTCACCCAGGAAGGGCTGGGAAGAGGGATCCAAGGTAAAAGACAATCACAGACCGTGTTGGAGCACACGCCTGGAAACCCAGCATGCAGGCGGCTGAGGAAGGAGAATTGCTTCCAGTTTGAATTTGAGGCCTGTTTGGATTACAGAGTGCATACTGAGGCTACATAGCAAGACACTGTCAGAGAGAGCAGAAGGGAAGGAGGTATGAAAGAAATGGGGGTGGGGAGACCTGAGGAAGACAAAACCACAGCATAGTGACAGGATTTCCCACGCTTCCACATTCAGGAAGCTCTGGAGTTTTCTGGAGCCAGTCTGGAGTTTACTGCCCTCTTAGTAGGTACCTAACAGAATGAGAACCAAGCATGTTTATTCTGCCACTGATGCTTGGAGTCGCCAAATCAAGAACGAGTACATGCATCTATGTATCTATGTCCAAGAAGACAGATGTATGTGCCCATACCCCGGGCAGATGAGGAATAACAGGAGGGCTTGTGGTTCTGCCCATCACCCTGGTTTCTCAGGGGAAGTTGGGAGTTCCTGGCAGTTGCCAGCAATTGGTGGTTCCGGAACTCCTGTTCTCTGTATTTATCTCCAGCACAAAGCTCTGTTAACCATCTAGCTACATCCTCTGGACGGTGAAGCTCATTGGGGACAGAGACAGAGGGAACCTAATTTGTAAGTCTCCTTCCCGTCTTTCTACTGTGCCTCAAGCTTGTGTCCGTGTCATTTCCCTGGCGATATTAAAGTGAAGTTCCCACAATGCAATGGAGGCAGAACAACTGGGTTGCTTACCATCCTTCCCTGACTCTAGAAGAGCAATTAGGCCCTGCTAGCCTTAATGAGCCAGGCTTGGCCACCTATAAAATTAAGAGTGAAAGCAGAGAAAGTTTTAATTTTTTTCAATGTGATCACATTGAGAAGAGGAACAACAACAACAAAAAAAAAGGTCCGGTGACTCCCCAAGTCCATCTTTGGGGTCCTGGCATGGGGGGTCTAAACAGAGGATGAGGAAGCTTAGCAGATAAAGGTGTTTATGCGAAGCCTGAATACCTAAGTTCAATGCCCTGGTCCCTCATGATAGAAGGAAAGACCTGAAAACTGTTTTATGAGCTCCACACATGTGCACACACACACGCACACACACAGAAATGCAGTTTAAATTTTTATGGCAAGAGGGACTGATATGGGTGCTGATCCGGGTATGATCCTTCCCATCACTGACCCCATTATGATCCCGGCTCCAGACTCTCCAGCAGAAGTGATCTGGCAAGTTACTCTGGTCATGGAGTCTCTTCCCAGAAATAGAAACCCTAACTAAGACAGTGGTCAAAAGGACTCTTTATGGGTTTTCTCTAACATCTGATATAAGTCTTGCTTTTTTACTGAAAAAGGACTAAGTTACTTGTTAAAACATTATGTCTATGTGTGTATGTGCAAACATGTCTGTGTGCATACACATGTATGCGAGGGGAGTGCATGGCCCATGCTTTTGTTGAAGCCAGGGTTGATGTTGAATATCTCCTTCTGTTGGTTACTAAGTATTTATGTTGCATTTTTATATTGTGTGTACACACCAGCAGAGATCAATAAACAGCCTGTGAAAGTCAATTCCCTCCTTCCTCCATGTGGGTCCCAGGGATTGAACTTGGGTCCTTGGACTTGGCAGCAGTGCTTTTCCCACTGAGTACCTCATTGACTTGCGCCTTATTTTTTATTTTTTTTTTAAGTATCTCTCACTGACCCTGGCGCTCATTCACTGGCTAGACTGTTAATCAACAAGCCCTGAAATCTTCCTGTCTCTGTCTTCCAGCGCTGGGAATACTGACATATCCCGCCACACTCGGACTTTTTGTGTGGGTGCCGGAGATCCAAACTCATCCTCGTGTTTGCACATCAAGTGCCTTAGCTTCTCAGTCATTTCTTGGCCCTCTTAAATCTTGTTAAAGAGTCATTCCTGAGTGTCTTTGAGGGGTTGCTATTTGTAATTATATTACTAAGAGTAAATTAACAAAATTTCTAGTTCCAAAGTCTTCCCTCAGGTCCACAGGCAAATGCATTTATACATGCTTCTGCTCACCAAGTGATTGACAATTTCAGCTTAGAGAGTATCAACAACTGATTCCTGCCAAGCTGTTTGGAAAATATGTTTCCCAAAAGAAGCTTCAGAAGTACATACAGTACTTACACTACACACACACACACACACACACACACACACACACACACACCTCAAAAAGCAAACAACAGGCACCTGTGTATAGTTGAAACCAGTGTCTTTTTTAAAAAAATGCTGGTGACTCTCTCACACAGCTGTCAGCCTGGGACTTGTAAGTTTTTAATGTGAAACCTGATTTTAAAAGAATGTTAGCTCCAAGGCATTGAAGTATACAAAAAGATCAATCTGAAACGTCGAACTTATTGAACCTCTGCTTTGACAACTTCATCTTGGGAACATAATAGAATCTCCCACCCTCCTTTTATCATCCCACCCAGTACCCTTCTTATGGAAAACTGCTAGGTTAATACAATATGTAATATGTATTTGTGTGAAAATATAAAGCTTGCACACATGGCGACATCCCCAGTGTATACAGATTCAATTATTTATCAGTATCGCTGGTGTCTTTCTTTGACTTACAGCTACCTCAATCTAAATTACAAAATGGGGCCAACATTCCTCCACTGTGTTATGACTTGACATGAATTGACATGACATTCGAAAGGTGGTCTTAGTTTTCCAAAGAGAAAACCTTTTATCTCTTTCTAGAAACTTAAGGCTGGTGTATTAAGAGATGAAAAAAAAAAGAAAGAAAAGAAAATTGTTCAGGTTTTCTTGCACCTGTCTGTAAATGCAAATGGGTAGAGCTCCTCCCTGGGGTTCCCATCCCAAATCAAGCCTTTCTGGTGATGAGGAAGCCATTGGGAGGCCATCTGAAGTGGTAGTGTTTGAATCCATTCCAAGCTGTAGATTGTAGAATGTGTGGAAGAAAGCCAACTCTTCTGGTCTATGAACACTCAAAATTTCACTCCATTCCTAAGTGTTTTATCAGCATTTTGCTGGCTGCTGTGGCTGCCGTTAAGCCTCTTCCATTTTCAGTAGCTCGACTTAGAAATGTTATATGACAAAATCAGTCCTTACATGTCACATGGTGCATTGCTGGGTTTTGTTTTGTTTTGTTTTAAGTGAGTCTACAAAATGCAACACAATACAAAAATGTAAAAATATGCCTCTCACTATCACTGGCTTTAAATATCTGAAAACTAGGGAAAGAACTCACAATGAGGATTATACATCTTTAAGTTCAACCAGAGCTCTGAGGCCCTGAGAGGGAAGCATCCCACAGTGTCTGTCTTGGATTCCTTTGTCAGATGGGCACATCCTAGTGTCTCCTGAGGGGAGAAGCCCCCATTGAGGGATTGCCCTGATCAGACTGGTTTGTGGACATGTCGGTGGGAACAAAAGTGTTCAATCTGTGTCATTGCGTCTTAGAAGTGTATAATTTTATCATTTTCTTTTATCCATTACTAGAGATCAAATTTGGAGTCTTGTTTGTTGGTTGTAGGCAAATGTACTATTATTAACCTGTATTCCCAGAGTGAGGAAGGGGAAGGAAGGGTCCAAATTACTCTGAAACTCCTGTTCTTCAGGTTGGACATCAGACACATTTTGTAGCAAGATGTGGGCCTTAATAAATTGGTCAACCCCACCCCCACAGCCTTTTTGGCCAAAGCCCAAAGTGCCTTCCCCAGCTGGCTATGACCGCTGACAGGAATTTCCCCAGCAGATGCTCCTTGTTCATGTTTCCCTGACATCCAATAATCTCCATTGCAGTGTAGGCTTCACCCCTACAGATTGTGCCTTTTCAGGCAAGCATGCTAACTCTGCCATGCAAATGCCTGGCTCCCTAGACTTTCCTGAGCAATATTGGTGGAAGCCTCCATCACCCATAACACTTATATTCTAGGTACCTGGAAAACTAGCATTGCATGAGTGACGTTAAGGACTGTTCCCAAGGAGAAGTAGCCAGGTCTCCTTGGACATACCCTTTGATGCCTGCATACATGAATGACTAAACACAGAAAGATGCTTTGCAGATGGGTTCTCTAGAGCTCTCATTTCAAAGAAGTCTTTCCAGTAGTTATAATGAACCATTGATGGATGCTACCAGGCCAATTCTTGATGGCTTCCAGGTACTTTTCCTATTATCTCAAAGCCAAGTACTTGGCTTTTTTTTTTTAATGGTGCAGATTTCCTTACCAACCATAAACAGAGTCCTTTTCTGTTTAAGTTTCTCTATTCCTTTTACTCTGATTTTTGTTATCAGGTTTTCCTGTAAATTGGGCTAAGGGAAACTAGCTATAACCATGCCACAATGTGAATGCTTTATTCCCCTGAATGATCTCTAGCAGATTAGTTTGCCAGCTTGAAATTTAGCCTCACACAAACTCTCAGGGCATGGATAGAAAGTAGAGTCCTTTGCCAGAATTTAAACTCATGGGCCCTTGTCCAATCCCCAACAGAGTTCTCATTTCCATTTGAAGCCTCGTGGGAACAGTTTTTACCATCAGCATTTCTGTTGATATTCTGAACTTCTGTGCTGTCTTCATGATTTCCCACTGAACTCTGCTTATAGCATTCTAAGGTTTCCCTTGCCTGTATCTCCAAACATTTCCAAGTTTCTCCCATAATTCAGTTCTATAAGGTTCTGAACAACACACTCAGGAGCAGCCACAGTAATGAGACTACTTCTCAGTATCAATAATTTCCCATGTTAGTAAGTTTTCTGTTACTATGACAAAATGCTTGGGATAAACAACAGAAGTGCGGAGGATTTATTTTTGCCAGAAGTTTCAGAGGTTTCAGTCCATGGGCACTTGGTCCTTTGCTGTGAGACAAAAATTAATGGCAAAGAGCTTGAGAGAGAGCAGAGCTTCTTACATTATTGAAACTGGGAAATAGAGAGAGCCAGAGAGCAAGGGCCTAGAGACAAGATACACCCTCAATGACCTAGTTCCTCTGTGTACCACACCCTAAGTCCATTCAGCAATGATTCCAAGGAGTCATTGCATTTATCATTCTCAGGGTCCAGTCACCTCTCAACAGGGCTACCAGTTGGGGACCAAGCCTTCAATATATCAACCTTTAGGGACATTTTTATATTCAAATCAAAACCCTCTCTCTGTCTGGTTCTTATTTTAAAAAACTAACAAAAAACCAATTGTGATTGCATCTGGGGTTCACATGAATAATTCCAATAGCCTGACTTTCTTGAGAGCAGGACTTAATCACATCTGTAAGATCACTATATTGTATAACATGACACCCACGGGCTATGATTACTAATCAGACTACTACAGACAGTAATTGGTAAGTGCTCACAAATCAGACCCTGCTAGATTGTTCTAGTTTTCCTAAGAAATCTCACCGAACTGTTCTCTTTTCACAGGCTAGTGACAGAGTGACTTCTTCCAAAGAGAACTGCAGCCCCAAAACGGAAGCTGCATGGCCCAAGGACACGGCAGACAATGCTGAAAATCTAGACCAGCAAACCCATATGGGAAGCCTGCCTGGGACTATTCCAGAAAGCTCTCCACCTCCTAGTGAAATAAATGGGAGAGTAAATTCAGGTAACTTTGCCTCTGTTCTTGTTGCTCTCCAACAGATATCTGGTCGACCTCTAAATATATAGTGTATGTATCTGATGGCCCCTTCTTTTGGGGTCTTAGTGTACTTTAAATGGCAAGGTTCTTATCTCTAAGACATTCGAATTTAGTCTTAGGCTTTTATCATGTGAGTAAATAATGTTAGCCATTAATCTTGTGGGTGAAGTAGTTAAAGCCATCTTAAAACAACAAGAGCGACAAGAGCCCTTGTTGAGACTTGAAAACACATTTTAGGAGTAGAAACCGCACGACTTAAGGGAATGTGAGCCCCTGTGTTGTTGTCTTCCTAAGGGAAAGGTTTGCATTTGAAAGAATAAATAAAACCTTCATTAAACTATCCCCCTCCCTCTACCCATCCACAGCACAAGCAAGTGCACAGTAAAAACATAAAAGACGTAATTATTATCTGGTATGATGTTTAAAAAGCTATTTGTGACCCTTCTCATGCAATGCTGTGGCCTCCCCTCCTTTGAGCTCTCCCTTGTGGCTGAGTGATGACATCTTATTTATATAGTTGGTCTGCCTTTGGAACAAAGGAAACTGCACAGACCTCAAGGGAAAGAACATTGATTTAGTTTAAGGGAAAACTTTTACTCCACGTCCCTGGCATTTCTTCTCTCACTACAAGTTAAGATAGAAAAATAAAGAGGATGGGGCCAGAGTGTTGGCTTAGTGGTTATGAGCCATGATTGCTGGTACAGAGGACCCGGGTTCATTCCCAGCATCCATATCAGGTAACTCACTAACACTTGTACCTCCAGTTCTCGGAGACCTAGCTGATAAAATGATGTTTGTATGCATGTGAGTACGTGTGTCGGTGCAGGTGCATGTGTTGATATCAGGTGTCTTCTTCATGTGATGTCTCCCGTATAGAGAGAAGCATAGTTACATGTTTGAGCACTTTTCTTTTTGTTATTGTTGTTTCATTTCATTTTGTTTTAAGAGACTAGGTTTCTCTCTGTAACAGCCCTGGCAGTCCTGGAACTCACTCTGTAGACCAGGCTGGCCTCGAACTCACAGAGATCCACCTGCCTCTGCCTCCCATGTGCTAAGATTAAATGTGCGCACCACCACTGCCCAGCTTGGGTGCATTCTATAAGACTCAGTGCCGAGCTCTTTGCATTGAGAATGGGCTCCATTTCATACACCTACGAGGCTGAAGAGCCAGCATTGGAAAGCACTGATCTGCTTGGCCCTTTAGTGATGCCAGGTGACTTTCAGCTGAACACTTTCTTGTGACGGGAGGGGGGGGGGCTAATGTCTGAGATGAGAAACAGCTGGCCGTCATGGGAGCCGCCTCTGCATATGTTTTCAAACCACAAAAAGCCGTGAACATTGTCCTTGTAACCACAGATTTTAGGAACAGCTGCGAAAGCCCCCGTCCACTGAACACTGAGGACTTTTTGAAGAGAGTTCACTTCAGAGGGCTCTGCAGAGTGTCAGCTATGACTTGCGAAGCAGAGCCATCTTCGGGCCCACAAGCCTGCACCTTTTATTTTATGACCTGATGGTGTGGAGGTGGCTGTTTCTGGGCATGGGGGATTTGCAGCGAGGAGGCTGCTCTCGAGAATACAGCTCATAAATCTGCTCCTGTAACTGGCTCCATGGCTCATCTTTAAAATCATTAGTAAGATCTTAGCTGCCGGTGTGCTAGCTCCAGATCGGGTCCCCTTTGAGGACTCTTTCCGAAAAGGCAGACCTCCCCTCGGAAGATTTAGCAGATGGTTGAACTGTATACCAGGGCTGCAGAACCAGCCAGCCCTTGGCAACTTCATGCCATTTACCGTTTGTATACAAAGCATAGAAACCAAACTGCAGCTCGGAGCAGTCGCCAAGAGGATGTCCTCAGCCTCAGCTGCAGTTGAGATTGTAATTAGTGGAACAAATCAGCGTCACCCGACCGAGTGCATGTGCGTTGTTACAACAAAGAGGCTTGGCCACGGCAGCACGGGGACGGGGCTGGATTCTGTGCACTTGAGACTTGCTACGGAAGGAATAGATTATGCTGATGTGTTTGTAAAGACAGCAGCGAAAACTTGAACTTCAAAGATTTACAGAGCTTTATAACGGAAGCCAGATATTGGGGTTGTGGCGATGGGCGTTAGCAACCTGAGTGCAGTCCTTGGAACGCCCATGGTGGAAGGACAGAACCAGCTCCCTCAAATTCTCCTTCAGCCTCACAATCATGCAATAACACACACTTGCATGCATACCCACACATAAAATAAATAAGTAAATGTAGCACGACTAATAAAAACCCTGAGACAGATACTGGGATTCAAGTTGGAAGATCAGAGAAACAAAGCAGCCAACCACTAGAAAGAGAGCTCTCGCCTCTACAAAATCTTCAGACTGAAAAGAGAGCGAGTTTCTGCCTCATCCCACCTTAAATTCCTCCCTAGTGCTGGGATTAAAGGCGTGCACCACAACCACCCCGCCCCTATGGCTAACTAGTGTGGTTGCTGGGATTAAAGGTGGGTGCCACCACTGCCTGGCCTGGATGGTTGATTAGTGTGGCTAGCTTTGCTTCTCTGATCTTCAGGCAAGCTTTATTTGTTAGATCATAAATAAAATATAATAAATAAATAGCTAGATAGATAATTGGTAAAATTATTTTAAAAAAGAAATTATATATTTATACAAAAGTGTCGAGACAGATTTGATTCAGGGACTTGTATAAGGTACCCATTAATCAGTTTTTAATTATTTACTTTGTGCATGTATGGGTGTGAGGATGGTGTATGTGTGCATCATGTATCCTAGAGTGTGTGCGGGTACATATGAAGTTAGAAAAAGATGTCCCAGTGTCCTGCTCTATCACTCCCAACCTTGTTTTCTTGAGACAGGGTTTTTTGCTGGACCTGGAACTGGACTGACAGCCAGCAAGTCCCTTGTCTCTGTTCCCTGTTCCCTTACAGTGTTGTGGCTGTCAGCATGGTAACTATGCCAGACATTTTACACGGGTGCTGAGGATTTGAACTTGGGTCCTTGTGATTTTGCAATGAGGTCTTTTACCTACAGAGCTCTCTCTCCAGCCCCCATTTAGCATTTGGGTGTTAAAATCTTTATTCTTAAATTTCTCTTTCTTTATGCTTTTTTTTTTGAAGACTCAGTTGCCAATGGGATAATCAATAAACCCCAACTCCTGGAAAGTTGGGAAAGACCAAAGTCATCAGACATCCTGGAAGAGTTAATTGTCCAAGGAATCATACAAAGTCGAAGCAAAGTATTTAGAGATGGAGAGTCGTATGATGTCATGGCAAGTGATTTTGTAATTAACATTTGTTTATACTTAAAATTAGCAATAAAATATAATTGATCACAACTCATTATTTCCAGTATATAAGACCTACAGTATAAATGATATCATTTGTCTAAGCCAGATTTTCCTTCTATAAATTCGCTTAGTTCTCTGCGCACCATGCTTCTCGGTGGATTCAGAATCACCCTGATCATTAATGATTAATGAAGCCAATAAAGCATTCCCTGGGCTTGACTGAATTTGGATATAATAAGTCCCAGGAAATAACAAGCTTTCATCTTCCCGGGGATTTTTATTGTGTTGTCTTGTAGAATAGAAAACTAAACTGTGGTTTACCCACGAGGAAAAACTGCCAGAGCTCCAGCAGATATGCCTACATGGGAATACGTGCAACCATGAAGAAGAAGGTTCCAGAAATTGTCGTGCTCTTTCTTTTTCTTCATTGATTCGCCTTGTTTTATTTGTCACTGTTTGACATTAATGTGAAAAATATTTATCCTCTGATTTTAACTAATTTAGTGGAGATCTCAGGCTCTAAATTTTTATTTAAGTGAACTTTGTGTGTGTGTGTGTGCATACACGTGTGTGCATGACATACATGTGGAGATCAGAGAACAACCTCTGATAGCAGTCCTCCAATGCTTCCACCTCTGTTTGACATAGGGTCTCTCACTGACCTGCAGCTGGCCACACAGGCAGGCCCACCAGTGTCCAGGGATCGCCCTGTTTCCTTAGCCATCTCATCCCTGGGACTATAGGTGTGCCCCACTTGCACAGTTTTTATAGGAATTTTATCAAAAAAAATCCCAGATATTTACTCAGGCTGAGCCCTGTTTATGACCATAAAATTTTTAATATGTTCTATATAAAACTCTGAACAGAATTATGAAACATGATTAATAAAAAGCTCAGAGAGAGAAACTGGGGTTTTCCTTAAAATCAGAAAAGCAAGCACCCAACCATTGACTCTTACCTCGACCTCAGTCCAAAATGACGATCCTGCCTCCAGGAACCTCAGAATGAGACTGTGGATGAGAGCTGTTTCCTCCCGTTCTGTAATCCTCTCTAGGGCTGGGATTAAAGGTGTGCACTGCTGTGATTAAAGGCACGCACCCCCGGTTTCTTTGGCAAACTAGTGTGGCTACTGGGACCAACGGTGCATGTTACCACTACTTGGTCTATAATGCTGACCAGCAGAGGGCTATTTTACACTCAGATCTTCAGACAAGCTTTATTTAGTAAAATACAATTAAAATGCCACTAAGGAACTAAATATTTTGTTTGTTCCTTTGTTTATAACCAAGGCTCCCAGGATCACCTGACACATAGATAAAAGAGAAATTAAATTGGGGGGAGGGGCAATGGAAAGGAGCCTAAGGAAATGAATGGAAAAGACAAGAAACAGAGAGATGAAAGTAGAGACCAGAAGTTGAGAAGTTTCTCAACGTTGTAGAGAAAGCAGTTGGCAGTGATTACCTCAGCATGGTGTGTAGATCAACTCACTAACTGCTTAAGCTAATATTCTACTCTGTACGGGAGAACTCGAGGATGAAATCCAAAGTGGCATTCTTTTTATACAAAACAAAGTAGGGCCTGAAGAAGGCATAAGCAGAAATGAAAAAAGATGGCCAACATCAAGATTATCACCAAACAGCCAACAACAAAAGAAAATAGGAAAATGAGATGGTTAAAAAGGAATTTATAACATACTTGATGATTAATCTCAATTGTCAACTTATATAAGATATAATATAATATATAATCACCTGAGAAAATATTTTTTGGGCATGCCTGGGAGGGCGCATCTTGATTGTGTCATTGGAGGTGGAAGTACTGTCCCCTGTGGGCGGCACCATTCCTTGGGCTAGGATTCTGCACTGTTAGAAAAAGAAATGAGCTGAAGATAAGCATGTATCACTCTTCCCACTTTGCCTATGGATGCAGTGTGACCAACTGCCTCACGTTCCTGCAGCTAAGGCTTTCTGGCAGGAGGGTCTGTACCTGAACAACAAACCCTTCCTTCCTGAAGTTCCTTTCATTGGTATATTTTATTACAGTCATGGAAAAGTAAAGTGTCACTTGACATTTTCATAGTATCACCATGATCCAATATGGTTTGGATGATGACAAATATTTGACTGTATTTGAAAATATGAGAAAAACATGTCTGTAATAAAGATGGAGAGGGGCTATTTTTTGAGCTCTAGATGAGCCTCTGGGGACAGAAAAAAGAAAATGATGTCAAAAGATGGGAGAGCAATTCAAATGGAGGAAGACATATGGAAACACTCCGTTGCTAAGTGAAGCCTCCTTAAGGGAGATGCAGTAACTCCTTGATGCTAATACCCGTGGGAATAAAATTACAACTTAGTTTAGTGAGCCCCAGTCACCAGAGGTGAATGAGTTCTGACTTCTAACAAGGGAGTGCACAGAATGATTAGCTTAAATATTGTGGAAGAACTCTATTCATGACAATGATGGACTTGAAGTTTGATATCATTAATTGAATTAAAGGTAAATTCTCTTCTAACATAGGATGGGATGGAATGGGATAGGATGGGATGGGATGGGATGGGATGGGATGGGATGGGATGGAATGGGGAGCCTGAGCAGGACCTTCTCAAAAGGACCACATGTCACAAGCCACAAGCACACCACAATACTTTTTCTCTCTTTTGTATTAGACCCACATGGGCCAGTGTAAGCCAGGCTAGCAAGAGGCCGGGGCAGCAACACACAGCCCTGTTTGTTTTGTAGCCCAATGTGCTAGGTATTAACCTTACATTGGCGTAAATCACTTAGGAAGATTTTAACACTCCCAGGACCCAGATCCCGCCTTGGACTCATGCCTGAGTATCGGGCTTGGCTTTCATGCTTTCAGAATCTTCTAGATGACTCTGTGGGCAGCCCATCCTGAGATCCACCCCTCCAACAACAAACCTGCACGTGAGGCTAAGTCCATTATCCAGTGGGAAGGATTGAAGCATTGGTGATCGTAGTTCACACTCTATTGTTGTAAAAAAGAATTCTAAAATGTTCTTGGACATACATTTTCTTTTTTTGTGAGAATTTTTTATTGTTTTTATTGAGATATACATTTTTCTCCGCTCCCCTCCCTTTCTCCTCTCTTCCCTTCTACCCTCTCCCATGATTCCCATGCTTTCAATTACTCAGGAGATCTTGTCTTTTTCTCCTCCCTATGTGGATCCATGTGTGTCTCTCTTAAGGTCCCCTTTGTTGTCTAGGTTCTCTGGGATTGTGGATTGTAGGCTGGGATTAAAGGGGTGTGACTCCTAAATACTGGGATTAAAAATGTGAGCCATCACCACCTGTCACTTTCTCTTTTAGACTGGATCAATCTTGTGTAGCCCAGGGTAAGCTTGAACTCATAAAGATCCATCTGCATCTTCCTCCCCAGTGCTGAGATTAAAGGTGTGTGCCACCACTGCCTGGCCTCTATGGATAATTGGTGGTTTAGCTCTGCACTCTGGTCTTCAGGCAAGCTTTATTTGTTAGATCACAAACAAAATATCACCACAAACTCTTTAAAAAATTTCCTGCTGAGGGGCTGGGGAGATGGCTTTGAGGGGAAAGCAATCCCTGAGGACCTGATTTTGGCTCCCCAAAGCCCCCATAAAGGAGGATGTGGTCACTCATGTCTATATAATCCCGGCTCTCCTAGATGGAAGCTCTTCCTAATGGACGGTGGAGACAGGCAGGACCCCTGACTCTCTTGGTTTAGCCATTCTGCACATGCAGTAGTGAACGAGACGAGCAATCTTGTCTCAAGGAACGTGGAAGGCAAGGCTGGTCACCTGAGGCTGTCCTCAGAAGTTCATCTGTGTGGCATAGTGTGTGCACACCTGCTCTCTCTCTCTCTCTCTCTCTCTCTCTCTCTCTCTCTCACACACACACACACACACACACAGAGAGAGAGAGAGAGAGAGAGAGAGAGAGAGAGAGAGAGATTTAAAAATTAGGTTCCTACTGATGGGTACGGTTAGAGTGATTAAGTAGAGGCTTAGGAGAGTGTTCGTGCATTGTTTTAATTTTCTGTTGTAAATGCATGTTTAAAAACCGTATTTTTGGAAAAGAATTCAAGTTAAAATTTTGTAGCCCTTTATTACAATTTCACTTTTGTAACTAGATGATGCATAACCAGAAAGTCACTATCACTTTTCTGAACTGCCGAAAGTGTGGCCATTCAGATATGATGGGCAATTTTTACTATTTGGCAATTGCCAATAGCAAAGCCTAGCATAGAGTCATTGCTCAGTAATAATTGATCACTCTCCATCATAAGATCAAAAAGTAATAAAAAAGCTAATCTCTATCCAAGTGAAAATAAATGGTAACACACAGAATATTATGAAATCAATTGCTGTCCTTGAAGAGTATAGGTCAATCAACCAAAGTTAAACTCTGAATGTCTTACACTGAGCTAGACTTTCACACACACACACACACACACACACACACACTTTCTTTCGGCTTTCAGTCTTGAGATCTCTCTGGTGAGTCCTCTTCCATCCGGCTTCAGTGGTACATTCTCAGGCTTTGTTTTAATACCCTGGTATTTTTGAGACATCAAATGCATTTTAATGCTTCTGTGCATGGCCGAGATGTCTCAGCAGGTCAAGGTACAGATGCTGAAGCTGGACAACCCAAGTTCAACCTCCGAACGCACAAAAAAGAGGAAGAAGAAAAGTAACCCCACAAAGTTGTCATCTAACCTCCATCCACATGCAGGGACACATTCAGGCCCTTATGTGCGTGCATGCGTGCGCATGCGCGCGCACAATAATAAAAGCAGCAATAATAACAATAATAAATGTATTTCTGCTCTGAACAGATTTCACATTTATACTGCATCCATCTGCCACTTAGAAAATTTAGACTTTGAAATTTGCACTTGAAGCTGTTTTTTTCTTGCCTGCTCATCTCCACTAGGCCAAGGTAATAATCGTTTCTCCATTAAAAGCAAAATGTCTTCCTCCAGGTGGACACGACTGAGAAGCCACTGAGAAAGCCGCCGGCCAGACTGAAAAAACTTAAGGTGAAGAAAGAGGTAAAAGATTTCACAATCCAAGACATAGAGGAAAAGATGCAGGCGGCCGAGGAGCGCAGAAAGGTAAGGGCCGTGGATGCTGGTCGGATGGGGTTGACCGCCTCCTAAAATGAGCAGCTGCAAGACCTAGCCTATCAGGAGCCTTAAGACAAATCACGTGCATTGATGCACTGCAGCTCAGTGGTCCGTGTGCTTCGGGGGCTCAACACTTTGTTTTTTTCTTGAAAATTATTTTTGTGCTGTGCAGGAATGAAGTAGAACCGTGAACTCGGTTGAAATTTGTTGTTTCGTCTATATTCCCTCAGTAAACACTATTCAACCCTCTGGATTAAGTCATGTGTGGGGGAAGTTTCCATCCGGGTTAGAGGGAGGAGGACAACCTGGGTAGGGATGGGTATTGAGCGAAGCGTGGGTTCTGAAGACCGTCAGGTCAGCTCCTATAGATTTAAGCACTAGGGTCTACAACCCAAAGCCTGTTGTTCCTGAGGGACATGCCTTTACTCCAGTTTCCTTCATTTCTGCCTCCCTATTTAGTGGCCTAGAGAGCAAAGACTGGACTATAAACTCTATGGGGGTGGGCCCTGTGTCTGTCTCTTCCAATATGGTTCCCCGACAAACATCTCTTCCAAGACCAAGTAGTCAAGTAGAATAAGTAAAAGCGGTCGTGACAAGCAATATGGATGAGAATGTGAAGAAAATAAGATTGCCAGGGTTCTTTTCCATTCTTTAATATCACTTTTCAGACCAAAAAAGAAGAAATAAGAAAACGGCTACGGAGTGACCGGCTCCTGTCCGCCGCCAACTCTTCAGATGCAGCTGAACCAGGAAGGGCAGAGGCTCCGTTTGCAGAAGGTCTCCCAGGTGTGAGCACCCCTGCTTCGCAGAGGTCCTACACACAGGAAGGAGAGCCACGCAAAAGGAAGAAAAGTGGAAATGATGTGGCCCAGATGAATAGGGTTGACTCCTATGCGGGTTTGGGGACTGTGGAGTCAGACATGTATTACAACCGAGAGGACGACATATTCTAATAGTCCACTTTCAAAATGAATCTCACCAAGGGGTCCATTACTTCCAGTTGCAACAGTCTTAGTGCGTCTCGTGGTCTTTAGGAAGTGACTGTGGCTCTACTCGTTGACATTGCTGCCCTGGGTTTAGGGCTCATTGTGGGAGCAGCAAGGGGATGAGTTTCCGTTGAGTGAATTAAAGGCTATACTTACCCATGAGGGATGGGGGATCACAAGGTTGCTGTTCTCCTTCAGAGTGCCTTCCAGCATTAGCTAGAGGTCTTAGATTAGGAAGCCCTGGCCAGCTTCCTTGAATATGCTTGTGCCAAAAGAAATTCTTCCTTTCACTGGCCTTGGCCACACCCACTGATGAGTCCTTCACAGCAAGTTGTGTAGATGTGTGTTGTGTTTATTAATAATCTGCGTGTTTCTTATGTTTTAATTCTTTGCTGTCAAAAATAAAGCAGTATCTTGAAAGTTGGGTGAATTATAGTCTTATCTATATAATGTAAGTCATCTATATCCAGTGGTCAAGTAATGTCCAGGATGGAGAGCAGGGATAGTGCCCTCTGGGACAGCACTCGCCCATCATGGGAGCCCAGGTTCCATCATTACCACCACCACAAACAAAAACACATCAACAGATACCTGTGTACAGTAACATGCACTCTTCATGTTGAAGAAGAAAAACTCTGATTGGGAAAGAGTAGAAGGGGCTGAGGGGACTGAGGGTCAGTCCCATGGGTCCACTCTTTCCCACAGACTGTCTGAGCTCCTGAGCTTGCTACTGTCATCTTGTCGGAATTATTTCTTTGTTCTCCACCCCCTTTACCAACTACATCCAGTAAAGAATCATGTCTTCCAGACGTACAATCTGAAGATCTCATCCATTTGTTTTCACGCTTTTCTCCTGTCCCTCCCTACATTAGACTACCTTATCCATCATGGTTCAACAGTTTTCTCAACCTCTGTACACCTTGAGGTCTGTTTAAGACCTTTGCTCCACCTTGCTTGGCCCCTACATCTTAACTGTCAAAATAAAAAAAAAAAAAAAACATACTGCCTGTGTCCGTGGCTCAGTTGGATATTGAGGTACACTGCTAACTGGAAGATCATTGGTTTGATTCTACTCTTGGGCTGGGGTTGTAACTTAGTTTGTAGAGTGCTTGCCTCGAACGCACAAACCCAGAGCTCCATCCCCAGCACTACATAAACTGGGTAATACACGCCCACAATCTGAGCACTTGGGCAGCAGAAACAATAGGATCAGAAATGTGTGATTTACTTCAGCTACATAATAAATTCAAGGCCAACCTGGGCTACATGGGACTCATCAAACAGACTCTGAGTTGTTGATAAAGAACTTAAATTTTAAAGTTCACCAAAATTGGACTTCTCCTAGTTCCTTGGAATCAGTGCATGCACTAATGCATGCGCTCGCGCGCGCACACACACACACACACACACACACACACACACACAGTGTAGTTTATTGGTATTTGCTATGTGTCATGCCTCATCTTCTCTATCCCTTTGTGGACACTGATGAATACCTTCTTGTTTCTCTTGTGTCGTCTCAGAGGTCACTCTGTAAAAACCCGAACATTCCTGTAAAAATTAATGGCCCTGTAGCTCCCATGCCAATACAGGACCAGTACTCGAGCCAGGAACTAAGCCTGGAAACTTAAAAGCATACAGACAAACACAGAGACAGACAGAGAGAGACACGAACGCGGGTCATCCTTGATACAAGAATGCCAAATGCCACTTTATTGTGCTGGGGGCATATAGGATTCCTTAGCCACGCCCAGTTCTCAGGATCCTTCAGCTGCAGGTCTCATCAGCCTGCCATCAAGGCCTCATGCTCAGAGCAGCTGCAGGCAAAGACAGTCAAGGAGCCAGGGATCTATAGCTCCCAACATCACTCCATCAACCCCTGCTCATCCTGACCTCCTCTCCAGTCATCCACCTTCACACATCTCGCTCTGTGTTGAATGTCTGATGCACATCCTTGACAGTGGATTATTTTCACTTCCTGCAGGACAGAACAGTGGTTGTTCTATGACAATGTTTCTGTCTTTTGTATCTTGGAGAGCTGGTTGTTCAAAGTGAGTGAGGTGTTAACGTTGTTTAGTGCCAATACATCTGCTGGACTCAGGAGTGACCTTTCCCATTGGGCTCCCATTGGGAACAGGCCTTATTTGACTGGGAGGCTACTTAAGCTACTTAAGCATCTCCTGTTTGACTGCTCTTTGAGATTTTGCAGAAGGGCACCCTGGGTGTTTCTTTGTCCAAGAACTTAGATATCCTCAGGCCACTGAGGCAAGAAAATCACTGTAGAATCAGTACCTCTTGAAGTCAGCATTTATTCTTAGTGTGACTTCAGAAAGGTATGTAGACTCTGTGTCTATCTTGCCTGCTCATTGCAGATAATCTCCATTAGAGAGATGTATAAAATGAAATCATGTATTTAAAAATACAGCATAAACTAGAATATGCCCCAATATTTATAGAACATTATTTAAACAAAGCCACATGTGAGCAACACAATGTTTTATTATCCATCCTAGGATTCTCCTGAGAGGGAGTTCCTCTACTGACAAGTGCCAATCTCACAGAATGACATAGTAGCTAAAACAATTACACAAGGAACTAGGACAAACAAAATATCACTCTTCTGTCTCTGAATAATGTCGAAATCATCACAAAAATATATTCACTCAAGCATATAGTACCTGCAAATTAAATTCACAAATTCCACAAATATTGAAATAATAGCTTTTCCTGAAATCTTGTGCTCTGGTTTACAATTCTTAAAGGAGCTTGAATGACATGTTTATTGAATTAAAATATGACAGTGATTCCTCCGTACGTATCCATATTTCATCCAAGGATTCAAGTAACTGTGGGGAGAAAATATTCAGAAAACAAATAGTACCTGCACTAAGCACATCCAGCCTTTTCTTGCCATCATCCCGTGAACTATCCAATACTGTGGATGTTTCTAAGGCATCTACATGGAATTAGTTGCAGTAAGAAATCTAAAGATGTTGTAATGCATGCAAGAGGTGTTCATCAAGCATACACCATCTTACATGAGAGATAAAGCATCCTTAGATTTCAAGACCCAGGGGTGACTCTGGAACCAGTCCTCCCATGGATGCAGAAGGTTGACAATGTAGTGTAGATGTGAATATTATCACTGGCACCCTGGCTTGAAACATTCTCCACTTATGTAGAGTTTAACATGCAAACAGATAGCAGAAGCAAAACCTTTATGATCAGTGTACTTCTTAGTAGGAACTTGGAAAGGCATGTGGACTCTGCATCTCAGTGAAGAATCTTCAGTAATAACTGCATATGTTCTTAACGGTACCATTCACATCAGTGGGATGGGAAGAAAGGTGATTAAAACATCCAACAGCAAAGTATTTTTTATTTTTTTTTATTTTTTTTTTATTTTTTTGGTTTTTCGAGACAGGGTTTCTCTGTGGTTTTGGAGCCTGTCCTGGAACTAGCTCTTGTAGACCAGGCTGGTCTCGAACTCACAGAGATCCGCCTGCCTCTGCCTCCCGAGTGCTGGGATTAAAGGCGTGCGCCACCACCGCCCGGCTTCAGCAAAGTATTTTTAATGAAATTATCCGCAAATGTTTCAGGTAAGCACACTATTTAGAATATAGATGTGCCATTCTTAAGAGTCTCAAGTGGATCATTGTAGAAAAAAAAAAACCTGCAAGTTTTTTTTTTCTGTCTTTTTCTTATTGTCATCTGCTTGTTAAAGCTTGTGTGTTAATCAATGACTCTAAAGACATTCCCTGGGAACCTACAGCAACTGCAGCCAGAGAAGCAGGTAAGCTAATTACAGATCTTCACCTCTCCCTCAGCTCCCTAGCTCTCAGCCCCCTAGCTCCCATCCCTAGCTCTATAGCAGACCACCTGCTGGGGCAGCCTCCCCTTCCTCTCTGCCCCATCTCCAGTTCCTTGCACAGATCTTCCCTCCAAACTCTCCTCCCCTACTCATTTATCCCCCAATTCCAGCAGCCACTCTGGCCAGTGAAGCAGGTAGGCTAACTGTAGGTTTTCACTCCCTCTCTTATCCAACTCCAATCCCCTAGTCTCATGCCCATCTCTGTAGAAAACTACCAACTGCAGCCTCTCCTCACTCTCTGTCCCCATTCCAAGGGATCCTAGTGGAAATCCCTGCTTTCCTTCCTCTTGTAGACCCCCTTAGTGCCCTCCTTCTAGTCCATCCCCATTTTTACCTGTCAGCTCCCAACCTAGAAATACATTTCACCTGGAATGCCAGAGGACATACCAATCAGGATCCAAGAAGAACATCCTACATCCTACCAGACAGCCACCACACTCCTAAGAACTGGAGAGGGCAACAGAAATTAAGGCACAAACCCCCACCCAACAAAGACAAAACCAGATATGCACCTAGAATTACAATCTTCCCAAATACAGGTGCTTGAACTCCAGAATAAAAGCATAAGCAACAACAGACAGGACAATGTGTCTCCAGTAGAGCCCAGCAACCTTACCACAGTGTCCTTCGTATTGCAACATAGATGAAGGCACAAGAAAAAGACTTTAAAATACCCTTTAAGAATATGCTGTAAACCCTTAAAGAGGAAATTAATAACCCCCTTAAAGAAAACTATGAAAACACAAACAGTGGAAGGAGATGAATAAAACAACTGAAGACCTGAAGCGGAAACAGAATTGATAAAGAAAAAAACTCCAAACCAAGGGAAATCTGCAAATGAAAACTTAGAAACTTGAATAGGAACTTCACATGCATGCATCACCAACATAATATAAGAGCTAGAAGAAAGACTCTCAGATATTGAAGATGTGATAGGATAAATTTATACCCAGGTCTAAGTAAATGTTAAATCTAAAAAGAAATCCTGGCACAAAACATCCAGGAAGTCTGGGACGCTATGAAAAGAACAAATCTAAGAAAAGTAGAAATAGAGGAAGGAGAAGAAACCCAGATCATGGGCACAGGAAATTTTCAACAAATTTTCCACAAAATCATAGAAGAAAGCTTCCTTAACCTGAAGAAAGAGATGCCTATCAAGGAACAAGAAGCACACAGAATACCAAATAGATAAGAGCAGAAAAGAAAGTCCTCTGGAAACATAATAATCAAAACACTGAATGTACAGAATAAAGAAAGAATACTAAAAGCTGCAAGGGAAAAGGACCAAGTAACGTACAAAGGTAGACCTAATAGAATATCCCAGGACTTCTCAATGGAGACTTTTAAAGCCAGCAGGG